TTTTAGTAACCGCAGCATTTTACAAATCATGGAAATAAAATTATTTACAAAAGTGTTTGCAGTAATATTGATACTAAAATTTGAAATATCCATAATAACTATGGGTATTAAATATTTAATAAAATCACAGTCCCCCAAAGTTAGTAATTTTTTTTAAATTACTATTTATTTTGCTTTGTAAAATTTAGAAAAAAACTAACACGTTGCAGTGATTTATTTTCTTTGTTTTTTAATTATCTATTCTCATTCCTTTCTGTGGGATTTCTAGTTGATTCAAAGAATTATAGCAGATTATTAAATTATTGGTTATTTCCCTTTGGTCTTTTTAAGGTTACACACAGTTGTACCCCTTTACTCAGTGTTTTACCATCGGTACAATAGATTTCTACTCGCCACCCGTTACAACTCGCCAGTCGCCACCCTCTACTATTCGAAACCCTCAACTACTCGCCACACTCTACTACTCGCCATCCTCTACTACTCGCCATCCTCTACTATAAGCCCCCCTCAACTACTCACTCGCCACCCTCTATTACTCGCCATCCTCTACTATTCGCCACCCTCAACTATTCGCCACTTTCTACTACTACTCACCATTCTCTACTACTGGCCACCCTCTACTATTCGAAACCCTCAACTACTCACCACCCTCTACTACTCGCCACTTTCTACTACTACTCACCACCCTCTACTACTCGCCACCCTCTACTACTCACCACCCTCTACTACTCGCCACCCTCTACTACTCACCACGCTCTACTACTCACCACCCTCTACTACTCGCCACACTCTACTACTTGCCACACACTACTATTCGCCACCCTCTACTACTCGCCACCCTCTACTACTCGCCACCCTCTACTACTCGCCACCCTCTACTACTCACACGCCACCCCCACTACTACTCGCAACCCTCAAATACTACTCAGCACCCTGTACTACTCGCCACCCTGTACTACTCGCCACCCTCTACTACTCGCCATCCTCTACTACTCGCCATCCTCTACTACTCGCCATCCTCTACTACTCGCCACTCTTTAATACTAGCCTCCCTATAATTTCTACTCTGCCACTAGATTAATTTCCACCATCGATTTTTCCATTCGAAAATCCACGCACGATGGAAATTCCCCTGAACCATCTCATCAGTTGTCAGCGCTTTCTGCGCTTTTTGCGCATCAGTCGTCCACTAGCCTTAACAGACAACCACGTCACAGCTGACCTGGTTTATACGGTGATGAAAAAATCGAAGATGTTATAAATATTAGATGATTAAAGACAATCTGTCTACACAAATCCGTTAATTAGTTTTTAGTTTTCCCACAAGGTTAAGAATTTTTTTTACATCCATTAAACAGTATTTTTTAAATCTATATTCAGCTAATTAAAATTCGCTGAATCACCATATATTCTTGTAGAGAATAATTTTTTTTATAGATCTACTGTCTGAGTCTACTGTTTGTCTGATCAATAAAAAACTTCGATAATATTGATTCGTCTCTTGCCATTAGGACGCTGTGTTGAAAAGATTTTTTTTATCTTTCGTGGTTCTTGCAGAAATGCGTTTTTCTAGGGAGTTGCTTTCAGTGCGAGGAGGGTTTTGTGGGGAGGGTTGTGTGGGGAGGTCTGTGTGGGGAGGGCTGTGTGGGGAGGGTTGTGTGGGGAGGTCTGTGTGGGGAGGGTTGTGTGGGGAGGTCTGTGTGGGGAGGGTTGTGTGGGGAGGTCTGTGTGGGGAGGGTTGTGTGGGGAGGTCTGTGTGGGGAGGGTTGTGTGGGGAGGGTTGTGTGGGGAGGGTTGTGTGGGGAGGGCTGTGTGGGGAGGGTTGTGTGGGGAGGGCTGTGTGGGGAGGGTTGTGTGGGGAGGGTTGTGTGGGGAGGTCTGTGTGGGGAGGGTTGTGTGGGGAGGTCTGTGTGGGGAGGGTTGTGTGGGGAGGGTTGTGTGGGGAGGTCTGTGTGGGGAGGGTTGTGTGGGGAGGTCTGTGTGGGGAGGGTTGTGTGGGGAGGTCTGTGTGGGGAGGGTTGTGTGGGGAGGGTTGTGTGGGGAGGTCTGTGTGGGGAGGGTTGTGTGGGGAGGTCTGTGTGGGGAGGGTTGTGTGGGGAGGTCTGTGTGGGGAGGGTTGTGTGGGGAGGGTTGTGTGGGGAGGGTTGTGTGGGGAGGTCTGTGTGGGGAGGGCTGTGTGGGGAGGGTTGTGTGGGGAGGGTTGTGTGGGGAGGTCTGTGTGGGGAGGGTTGTGTGGGGAGGTCTGTGTGGGGAGGGTTGTGTGGGGAGGTCTGTGTGGGGAGGGTTGTGTGGGGAGGGTTGTGTGGGGAGGGTTGTGTGGGGAGGTCTGTGTGGGGAGGGTTGTGTGGGGAGGTCTGTGTGGGGAGGGTTGTGTGGGGAGGTCTGTGTGGGGAGGGTTGTGTGGTGAGGGCTGTGTGGGGAGGGCTGTGTGGGGAGGGATGTGTGGGGAGGGTTGTGTGGGGAGGTCTGTGTGGGGAGGGCTGTGTGGGGAGGGCTGTGTGGGGAGGGTTGTGTGGGGAGGTCTGTGTGGGGAGGTCTGTGTGGGAGGGCTGTGTGGGGAGGGCTGTGTGGGGAGGGTTGTGTGGGGAGGGTTGTGTGGGGAGGGCTGTGTGGGGAGGGATGTGTGGGGAGGGCTGTGTGGGGAGGTCTGTGTGGGAGGGATGTGTGGGGAGGGCTGTGTGGGGAGGGCTGTGTGGGGAGGGTTGTGTGGGGAGGTCTGTGTGGGGAGGGCAGTGTGGGGAGGGATAGGAGTGGGAGGTGTCTTAAGTATGATAATGTTGCTTCGTTATTCAAGAAAACACAAAAGCAATCATTGTCGTAAAACGGTGATCGTTAATTATGTCTTACTTTAAATTGGATCGCTCAATTATAGTTTTTATAGCTCAAGAAACGTGTGACACGTAAATACATCTTGACATTCGTTCTTGAGGTAAAAATCATTTCGGCTGCTAACCCGAAGGTTTCGAGTTCGAATCTCGGTTAGGACTTGTGACTTTAGAACGCCCCTGTGTCCACCCAGTTATGATGGGTATCTGACTTAAGTTAGGGGAAGTTAATGCGGCTGGGTATAGTGTATATTACACCATCCCTTCATGTGCTGAGGTAAAGAAACATATGAGCTCTACTTCATCTGTCCAATGGATGTCTGGGTCTAAAAAAAGGTTCTTTATTTATTAAAAACAATGTCGCTTTATTGGTAAATATATTGGTATAGAGTAGGGCAAAAATGTCTTTTAATGAAACGATAAAATTACATGCAGTTTTACCGGGACTTTGTATAAATAACATAAAATTTGTGACGTCATTTAACAATTTAACAACCAACAATTCAATCTCGCAAAACTCTGCTTTTTGATTCACTGAGCAGATTTTCGCGATTGTAAAGTCGAAAGCACTCACTGTTAATTAATTTACTTATACACTATATAATCGAACCTCGATAAAATACCGGTCATAGACTTACTGACCAGACTGTTTATATTGTAAAATCGAAAGCACTCTTTGTTAATTAATTTACTGTTGATATCAGACAGGCTTAATACACGTAGTATATGTCTGCCATTTCTATATAGATGGATGTCTTGATAAAAACGACACATGGAGATATAGGCTGCACTGTTGGAAAAGGAGTATCCTCTTGCGAAAACAGCTGTGGCCATTTTAATAACATGGCTTTGATTTAAAAACCTTATAATATACGATTTTTTTGTATGATATAGTGGGTTTTTTTAAAATGGTGTTTAATATTGTTGCATTTACTTAAAATATACAGCCTTATTAAATACATACTTATTAAATAATATTAAATAAAATAATGTAAAAAAATTATATATACATAAACAGGTAGTGTTAGTATCCTCACGATTTCAAGACTATAACAAGTACAATGGAGGTTTCGACCTAAGGTCTTCGTCATGGAGAGGACAAAACATTTTGTTCTTGGTGAAGCATTTTTAGAAAAAAAGAATTTTTAAATTTAAATAATGAAATCCCCTATTTACACAAATACAAACGATTTCGTTGATATTTAAGACTTCAAAATAACGTAAAGAACTTATTAACCTAAAACTTTATTAAAGTGTATATCATCTTTTTTACTAACTTGTCCAAATCATTTTAATTATCTTAAACCTTATTAGCACAAATGACTATTCTATGTTTTAAATTTACTGAGTGCAAGTTTAATTAGTCAACGTAGTCGATGACATGACAATAAACTACAGTAATAAATAAAACACGTTGATTTTTCACAAAATATTTGTTTTTAAATTTCAAAAGCATGCAAAGCCATTTGGTAACTTAATCATAATCCAAAATATAAGTTTAAATAATAGGCCTATATATTACGTCTTTTACTAGATAAAAAAGCTAACCAATTGTTAAGTTTACGTTGAGTAACTTTAAACTTCATTCAAACAAATGACTCCTTATACATTTTACAATTAGTACAAAGTAAACTTCATATACTTTTAAAAATGGTGCAACATTTTTCATATTTTAACTGACATATATTTGCATTTCTACGTAATTAATTTAGTTTAAATATGATTTATTAAATAAACTTTTAAAATTGCTTAAAAGTAAGGATCTATTAAAGTTAAATATATAACAATTTTTTCCCAATTAAAAAAACAAATGTTGGCAATCATTTTTTAGAATATACTAGACGACTCAGTTTCCCGATAGAAAACTGTTTTCCAGCTGCACTGCACAACACAAATCAATTAGCCTGGATCCCAACTTCACTTGGATAAAGTTTATTCACTCCACATAAATCCTACCTTTTTGACAAGAATATTCTATTTCTCTTTCTTGTTATAAGTGTTACATACATATGTATATAAAAATTAGCATATTTGTAAACAATCCTTTTAACAAGACTAGTACGGAATAAAATTATTGTGTCGGTACCAGCTCAGCACACAACCTTTTGTAGAAATGGTATAAAGTTATATGTATAAAGAAAGAGACAATATGATTTTCTTTTTTTTTGTATTAATATTTTTTAATCGAAAAAGAAATATTCATTTCAAAAGAAATGCATGAGTTTAATGTGACCAGATAAATTTTCCAAAACCAAGAAATATTTACCAGGTGCATTTAGAAAATAATAGACATGCCAGCATGATCAATATTTAGCACAAGTGTAAAATAAAACATTGTAAACAATATCAATAAACAATAAACAACCGTCATTCTATTTCCTATGTTTAATTTAAACATTCATATTAAAGCAAAACATAGATTTACTTTTTTTATCTAAAATATATAAAAATTTCGAATACAAATTGTAAACCATTCTTCCTTGAAACCGGTATATCACATTAGTCAATAAATGTAAGTGTTTCTGTCTTTAGCCCTCAGCCCGTGAGGTTAATGGCGTCCACCACGACCACCCTTGGGTCCATCACGACCACCCTTGGGTCCATCATGACCACCGAAGATACCACCAGCGGGGTGGGTAGGTTTGGGTGGGGGAGGGAGGACAAAGGCGGTAACCTCTGTGTCCAGGGTGTAGAAGGTCAAGGATACCTCACCTTCAGAAGCAGCTGATGAAATAAAATTTAGAAACCCCTCATTATTTCATTTAATGAAATGGCGTAATTAGGAAGAGTGCGTAGATTGGTTTATACTCTCCCCCCCCCCCCCCCCCTTTGTTACTAGTCAAAGTAGTAAAGTTCCCTTTTCAAACCAGACGGTCTATAGAACAAGTGAAGTAGAGTTCACTTGTTTCTGTGACCTCGGCATATGAAGAGATAGTGTGGTCACCAGGCGCCTTTATTTTCCCTAACTTGAGTTAGGTACCCATCAGAGTTGCGTGGACTCAGGGACGGTCTATTGACTTGAACCCGGATTTGAACTCGAGACGGGTTAGCAGTCCAGCTCTCTACCGCTAGACCACTCCGTCCTCGCTTTATTACTAAACTAGACAGTTAAGATCTCTAAAGTCAGCGCTGATTAGATACGTTGTTGACAATGGTAAGCAGAGACACAAGTCACAAGGGTGCATAATGTGTGAATTTTATATCAAAACAATGTCTTCCACGCTTCTGATCGATATTGTAATGTGTCATGTGGCTAGGCAGTTTTGTTCTATACACTTGATAAATAACTTGTAAGCAGCTAAAGGTAAGTAGAGATATTAATACCCCTCTCCAGATCTACAGATATATTATAGAATATACGACTTCATTGATTAATTTAAGCCCCGTACGTAAATAAGGAAGAGTAGCCTTGTAGACTTTATGAAAGAAGCAACAGACGTGTAGACTTACCACCAGCTGGTTCCACGAGAGAGATCCTCTGTCTGTTGCAGGCACGTCTGACGTCAGGATTGGCGGCCAGGTAGGCTTTGGCCTCATCACGTGACAGAACCTTGGTGGCGTTCCAGGACTCTTTCTTTGTGATGGTCTGGTTGGTGTTCTGTAAAACAGAGGATAGTTATCGTTTTAGATTACGCAAGTTATAGCAACAACAAAAAATTGTGCATTAGAAAACGTGCTCAATGGGTAAAGTTAGGAAAATAAGTTTTCTTTAACAAATTTAAATGTAGAAGTTTAAAAAAAAAAAAAATTACATTGATGGCGTTCAGATGGTCAATGGGTAAAGTCAGGAAAATAAGTTTTGTTTAAAAATTTAAAATGTAGAAGTTTTAAAAAAATAATTACATTGATGGCGTTGAGATGGTCAATGGCGCTCTGGTAGGTGAAGTCTGTGTTGGAGACGAAACAAGCGCCACGGACGGTAACAGCAACAATCTAAATATAGAACGTGTACAAGTATGCTAACAAATGAACCAAAATTTTAAAGTTATATCTTCATTTTGTAAAACAAAGAACGAATTCATTATTAGAAAACTAATTATATTTAATTAATCGACTTTAGTACGCGAACTTTGAAATATTTCAGCTTTAAGTACTTCTTATTATGAGCATTTGAAATTATTTAAACCATTGCATGGCAGTTATTGAAATTTAATATCTAAATCTACTTTAATTTAACGTGTCTTAAGTTGGTTTACTTTTCTAACCAGTTGTATTTTATTAATTTGAAGAAGAACAAGAAATAAATTTATGATGTACCTGTGAGTTGTTGTAGAAACTGTAGATGGACCTGGCACGGGTGATGTTAAGTGAGGCTAGAACTGGGTCGTTGGATTTGACCAGGATGACGGTGCCGTTTCTGAGAACGTCAAGAAAACAAAAATTAGATTTATTCCATTGGGTCTCCTGTGACAGGACGAAAGCTGAATGGTGGAGTGGTGATAGAGTATAACACTCAAAATAAAGTAGCGCTAAAGATCATATCTATACATCGTGTGAAGATATAAGATTTTGCCAGGACAGCTAGTTCGAGTGATGGAGTGCAAGAGTGATATCTAGATCAGTTCACAGATTTCCCCCCACCATTGGGAGATAAACGCCCTTTGCTAGGTAGAACGACTTATCTAGGAAAACTCAAAAAGCGAAAAGAGAAAAACTTTTGGGAGAGGGAGATGAATGACTTTAGCTAAGAAAAAAGACCCATCTAGGACTGAAAACTCCAAAAAATGCAAAAAAAAAAAAAAACACTATTATCTTTCATGTAGTTTTTTTGGGTGGACAAAGGCTATGGAAGCAAATCCTGAATAAAAATGCATTCTAATACGGAGTCTCAAGTTAACGCATTATAATTTTGGAGGAAAACTAGAGTTTGCAATTTTGTTTAGTCTTTGTTACAATAAAGTAAAAAGGAGAAAAACAAAGATTTGTGTATAGTGCTAAAATACTCTCGCTTACGACATCTCTATATAACTTTCAGCGATCAGCTTTAAATTTTAAAAAGTGGCAAGAAACTTACACAGGGACCTCTGCCTGTTGCTCAGCAACGACGACGTTTCCTAGATCAATGCCAAAAGTGTATTCAGCGCCATCTTTGTCGCCGTGTTCCTCTGAGCTGATCAGCTCGTTGGAGTTGCTCTCATCAGATTTGTCGTGTTTACGGACTGCTGGGGGCGTTGGTCTGGGGGTGGCTGGGGGTGCAGGGGTGACGGGAGCCCTTCCTCTGTCTCCGCCTGGTCCGCCTTTACCCTGAGAAGAAAAGAAAAATTGTGGCGATGAAACATTTTTAACCCCCCAAAAAAAACAACTATTGAATTACAATTTTTTAAATCACCAACATACTCTATAATACAAATAAGAACCAGATTGGTAATAATTGACGCGTTAGTATTGCCTATGTAGTTAATTAACCGTATCCCTGTTTAACTCATAAAAATATGAATTTGTTTACGAAATTGGTCGAACGAAAGTTAACCGACCTTATGTTTTGGTTGGGTCACTTTAAACTATGCAAACGTCATTTAGAACAAATTGTTTTGTTTATATTTTACAAGTTATACAAGTTTAAAAAAAAAAATCAAACAGTTAAACATTGGTATAATTTCTAGTCAGAAGCAGTGATTTATTCACGCAGCTGTATACACTAATATCTTCATGGCAACAATTTGAGGACCGCTGAGCCAAAACTAAACATGTTTCACCCAACCAAGTTGTAAACATTTCAATTTTAAAAATGTAAGTTAATGTATTTTACTTTTATATTAAGTTTAAAATATAGAATTTGTACAGAAAAGTTAAACATATAGGTTTGTATTAAGGTAAAATAAAAATCTATTTATTTTTCAAAATAAAAAAAAATAAAAACAACTTCGCAAATATTTTTTAAATTAATATATTTACCTTTCCTCCTTTGTCGGCATCAGCAAAAGATGAGACTGCCACAGCCACGAAAAGAGCGATTAGAAGTTTAGCTTGCATGTTGTCTGGTAGTTGATGGCGTCGATTGACCGTTTAGTATCTGGCTACTGTTGTGATATCTCTTCACGTCTGCTGGGTTGTGTGTCTTGAAATCACGGGCCGCGCGCTTTTTATCCCCGTCGTCTGCTCGCTGGCGCGGAACAAATTACGTCACGGCCCGGAAAAAATACACGCCGGATATTGAGTCACGCAGACGTGAAGACGGTCTGCTGTTTGGTGGTGGCGTCACGAAAGGGGTGGTGATGGGGTGGGGGGGTGGGGGGGGGTATAACCACGAATCCTTTAAACCTGTTTATGTGCCAATTTTCGTCTCAAAAACAAATTGTCATCTGACTAGATACGTCATAGGAATGTAATTCATTTTGTAACAGCATGCACGATTTTTCTAAATGGTATTTGTGTGCGATCTTAAAGGACAGACCTGAAGAGTTTATGTCTATAGATACAGAGAACAGAAAGGTTTATCAGTCACGTTATTTGAGAGACAAATGTTTACAATCAGGGTTAAACATGACTTATTTTTATCATGACATCTTTAACACTTAGTTTTTTTATTTTATTTTTGTGTGTTTAAAAAAAATTAGAAGTAGATTGTAAAGTTTTAAAATCCTCTATTGTCACACTAAAGAAAGCATTTTCTCTATCCTGTTTTTAAAGTGTTTTTTTCGTGTCTATTGCAGCTGGGATTCGAACACACATCTACAACATGCTGGTTTGACTGAGCAATAGTGTAGTTTAGATAACAGATGTTCGTGGCACCAAGACCTTGTTAAGATTACTTAAATAGATCTATTTGCAGATGATGTATAGTAAATCTGTATCAACTCCCTATTTCTTTTGAAAAGGGTTGTGTGGTAAGCAATATGTCCAATCTGAACAAACACATATCTCAATTAATAAAATTGCATGTGTTCAATATGTAATAGTGAACGTAATGATTATCTTTTGAAAGATTACAACAACAACACAGGAAAACAATTTTTATTAAAAATGCGAATCTCAACTACAAATATTTTACATATGATCTCAATGAATGAAATAGGATTTAACGCCAACATGAACAAAACCGAATTCGTCTGGTTATATATACTGTATCGCCATTCGATACTACTTTACGCACACAACTATTTCAAAATGGTCATGGAAAAACTTAGTAAATTACATTATAATTTTAACAAAATTTAGAAAAAAAAATTACTACCAGTGAAAAAGATTATACGAAACTAAGGCTATGTAAGCACTTTAAAGTTCAGCGTCCCGGATTTTAACCCCAGCATTGCGTCAGTTCTGCTGTGCTTATTATTAATGTATGTACAGCAACTTCGCTCGAATGTTCGTCGCATTGATTTCTATAGGCAATGGAATCAATGAACGCAAAAATGCTGTTTAAATATGTCACTCTTTTTTTTTGCAGGCTTGTTTCAATAGTTGTGGAAAGTAATTCAAATATTGCCTGGTATTTTTAAACATTAATTTAAACTTGCTTACACATTAAAAATCTGCCGAGTCTTTAATCAGTTACTTTTCAAGCATAAAAATAACACATTTCGCAACTGTACTGTCTTATAACTTGTACCAGTGGGTACTAGTCTTAACACTTATCTTAGTCCTCCTCTAAACGAGCTACTCTCATTATAAACCATAGTAATGGTTAAATAGGGACTGATGTAATTAGCTGAGGTTATTCGTGGCTAAGTGTGGTTATACGTGTTTGTGTAAGGAAAGCTGCAGTAGCGTAGCGAAGGGGGGGAAGGGGGGACATATGTCCCCGGGCGCCGACCCTTAGGGGGCGCCTAAATGGGTTGGAGAAATAAACTGAAAGGTTGAGGGGGGTGCAAATCGAAAGTTTGAGGGTGGGTGCAAACCGAAATCTTGAGGGGGGGGGGTGCAAATCGAAAAGTTTGTCCCCTGGCGCCGGGAAGGGTCGCTACGCCTCTGGAAAGCTGGAAATATGTGTGTTTTCCTGAGGTTATGTGTAATTAGTGTTTTGCCTTCGTCTTTCCACAGCTACGAGACACCCCGTGGTTCTTTTGTATTAGACGTGAAACTGCGTGGTCGAACGATAGAGCGCTTGACAACAAACCTGAATGTCTTAATCTCATTAGTCATGCTCACGTGTTACAAACAGCTTTGATGGATATTTTACTTGGGTCAGGGATAAATAAAAAGCTGACCGAGTAGTGCAAGCCTTTTAATGCCGAAATCGATGAAAAAGCCCATACTTCATTTGGTCTACAAAAATATCTCATTTACTGTTTTGTATGAAATCTAACAATTTAATCTGTAATCCTTAACATTGTATGACTCGATGTTTGCGAATGTATTATTTTCTTTTGGTATGGCACGCGTGAATGAATACAAAAGATAGTAGCACGAACTCTGGAAATAACTGGTACTTTTGGTCTTCTTCTTCATCTTCTTCGTTCTTAATTATTAGTGTTGAAGGGGATCGAGATTTATCTGCCAGTGGGTTTGAACTTGAGACTGTTCGAATTTATCAACCATGAGCTTTTTACTGACTCGACCACGCCTCCAACACAATTAAGCGTTACGTGTCAACTGGTTATGCGCCATTGAGGCCATTGACTCCGATTTCAGCCTGCTTTTCTTTTTGGATTTGCTTCCATAGCCTTTGTCCAATCAAGAACAAACTACAAGGCAGCAGTTGTTTAATTTTGGAGTTGTTTCTCCTAGAAGAGTGGCTGTCCCCAGCTAACGAGCCTCATCTGCCCGAGGGTTCGAACTCGAGACTTTTTCGGTTTAGCAACCATGAGCTTTAGTACTTTTGGTCAATCTGAAGGTTTGTAGTAAACGTATGTTACATGTATTAAAAAGGAAACAATATACTTTTCTTTTTTTATATATATTTTTATTCGAAAAACAAAATATCTGATTCAAAAGAAATGCATGAGTTTAATGTGACCAGATAAATTTTCCAAAAACAAAGAAATATTTACCAGGTACATTTAGAAAATAATAGACATGCCAGCATGATCAATATTTAGCACAAGTGTAAAATAAAACATTGTAAACAATATCAATAAACAATAAACAACTTTCATTCTATACCCTAACATTTAATTTAAAAATTCATTTTAAAGCATATAATATATTCATTTTTGTTTTCTAAAAATATGTAAAATTCGAATAGAAATTGTAAACCATTCTTCCATGAAACCGGTATATCACATTAGTCAATAAATGTAAGTTTTTCTGTCTTAACGCATCAGCCCGTGAGGTTAATGGCGTCCACCACGACCACCCTTGGGTCCATCATGACCACCCTTGGGTCCATCATGACCACCGAAGATACCACCAGCGGGGTGGGTAGGTTTGGGTGGGGGAGGGAGGACAAAGGCGGTGACCTCTGTGTCCAGTGTGTAGAAGGTCAAGGATACCTCACCTTCAGAAGCAGCTGATGAAAGAAATAAAAAATAAAATCTTTATTTGATTCAATGAAATGGCGTATCTTAGAAAATAATGCGTAGGTTGGTTCACCCCCTCTCCCACCTCAATACAAATAGACCAGAATTTGGAGATATCTAACTAGTCAGTGCTCATAACAGACATGGCAGATGTACAGACTACACAAAAGACAGGCAGAGGTATAGAATTCAAGAAAGCAGAGCAGGTGTATAGACGTCTTGAAAGACAGAGAAGATGCACGTACGTCTTAAAACAAAGAGCGGATGGGTACCATTGAAGAAAGCAGAACAGACGTGTAGACTTTATGAAAGAAAGAACAGACGTGTAGACTTACCACCAGCTGGTTCCACGAGAGAGATCCTCTGTCTGTTGCAGGCACGTCTGACGTCAGGATTGGCGGCCAGGTAGGCTTTGGCCTCATCACGTGACAGAACCTTGGTGGCGTTCCAAGACTCTTTCTTTGTGATGGTCTGGTTGGTGTTCTATAAAAACAGAGGTTCGTTATCGTTTTAGCTTAAGCAAGTTATAGGAACAACAAAAAAATAGTACATTGGAAGACGTGGTCAATGGGTAAATTAAGGAAAATAAGTTTTCTTTAAAAATTGTAAATGTAGAAGTTTCAAAAAATAATTACATTGATGGCGTTCAGATGGTCAATGGCGCTCTGGTAGGTGAAGTCTGTGTTGGAGACGAAACAGGCGCCCCGGACGATAACAGCAACAATCTAAATATAGAACGTTTAAAAACATGTTAAAAATGGAACCAATTCTAGGTACTTAGCATTTTTTTTAAAACTACACATATCTTTATATTGTGGTTAAAAGAGAGCGCACTCATAACGAGAATTAATGTAAGTGAATTTTCCAAATCTAATGCGAACTTTGAAATATTTCAGCTTTGATTGGTTCTTATTATGAGCATTCGAAATTATTTAAATTTAAAATACTAGACAATGTTCAAATTACATTGCATGTATTGTTTTTAAAGACATAGATCTAGTTCATTTGGACATGTATCAAGCCTGACTTGTAATTTATTTGATGAAGAGCGCAAAAAAAAGAAGCTAAATATTTACCTGTGAGTTGTTGTAGAAACTGTAGATGGACCTGGCACGGGTGATGTTAAGTGATGCCAGAACTGGGTCGTTGGATTTGACCAGGATGACGGTGCCGTTTCTGTAAACGTCAAGAAAATTAGGTTTATTGTATTGGGTCTTTGCTAAAGAGAACGATAGCTTATTCGAGGGTAGCTACTGTAGAGCTAAAGTCAAACTAAATGAGCAGCTGTAGAATTGTATAAATAAGTCATTCGATAATATATTTCGATTGACAGCGGCCATAGTCAGTTCGAGACAATGCTTAGCTCAATTCTTTCCATACATTAAATTTATAAAGAAAGGGAATGAATAATTGGGGTATCGTAGAGCACAAATCTTATATCCCGAATATCCTCGAGTTTGGTTCACAGACCCATGGGAAGTAGTGGCTCTTTAGCTGTCAACAGCAACACGTCTAGCCAAATCAAAAGACTACTGCCTTGCAAATGTTCTTGAGTAAATAAAGAAAATGGAAAGCGCACCAGGATTGAAAAAGAAGCTGAAATCGGAGCCAATGGGCATAAGGCGCATAATATTTATGACATGTTTATCCCTTCCTATGTTATATGAAGTACAAAGAAGAAAACAATATGTGTGTCTCAAAGATATAACCACAATAGCTTTAAGTATTTATGTTTAATTTGGGGGGGGGGGGGGGAGTGAAAATTTAGTAAACAACAATGGTGGAGAACTTACGTTGGGACATCCGCTTGTTGCTCAGCAACGACACCGTTTCCAAGATCAATGCCAAAAGTGTATTCAGCGCCATCTTTGTCGCCGTGTTCCTCTGAGCTGATCAGCTCGTTTGAGTTCCTCTCCTCAGATTTGTCGTGTTTACGGACTGCTGGAGGCGTTGGTCTGGGGGTGGCTGGGGGTGCAGGGGGAACGGGAGCCCTTCCTCTGTCTCCGCCTGGTCCGCCTTTACCCTGGAGAAAAAGAAAGAAAAATTGTGATAAAACGTTTTGAACACACACACACAAAAACAGAAAAACAACTGTTGAATAAGAATTTTTAAATCACACTAACTAACCATTTCGGTAACAATTCAGGTATTAGTATTACTTAGTATTACTTATACAGTTAACTAGCCTTACCCCTCTTCAACTTTGTTAAAATAGTTAACCAAATTTATTTGAACAAATGGTTCGGTATTTTAAAAATTGGTAAAACAATACCTTTTTTAATCAACGAAGTTTTTGCTATTCTATGTATCTTATAGAATTGTGTTTATGTGTTTAGTTTTTTTTTAATCTCAGAATTTTAAAAATAATTTCAAAGTATTTAAATCTTTTAGGTAAATTAAGATGATTTACAAAGAAAAACGTATAAAAAGCTTGACAATTATTACTTAAATTAAAATATTTACCTTTTCTCCTTTGTCGGCATCGGCAAAAGATGAGACGGCCACGACCACGAAAAGAGCGATTAAAAGTTTAGCTTGCATGTTGTCTGGTAGTTGATGGCGTCGATTGACCGTTTAGTATCTGGCTACTGTGGTGATATCTCTTCACGTCTGCTGTGTTGTGTGTCTTGAAATCACGGGCCGCGCGCTTTTTATCCCCGTCGTCTGCTCGCTGGCGCGGAACAAATTACGTCACGACCTGGAAAAACGACTCGCCGGATGTTGAGTCACGCAGACGCGAAGACGGTCCGCTGTTTGGTGGTGGCGTCACTAAGGGGTGGGGGAGAGGGGGGGGGGGATCAATCCACGCCTACTTTAAACCTGTTTATGTGCCAATTTTCTTTTGAATAACAAATTGTCATCTGACTAGATACGTCACTGTAATTCATTTTGTATCGTCATGCACGATTTTTCTAAAGATATTTGTGTGCGATCTTAAAGACAGAGCTGAAGAGTTTATGTCTATAGATATAAAGAAGACTCTATGTATATAGGTATAAAGAACTGGCTGTTCAACAAGTCACGTTATTAAGAGACAAATGTTTACAATCAGGGTTTAAAATAATTTATTATTATCAAGAAAGTTTGAACGCATTGTTTATTCTTTTTTCAATTTTATTTAATTTTTTTTTGGGGGGGGGGGGGGGGGGACTGTAGCAGATAGTTTGTTTTGTTTAAAATTCATCAATTTTTTACATCTGATATAAATACTTTCCGATCCTGTTTTTCTATATTTTTTTTCTACGTCTCTGTTGGTCCCCGTTTGGTTGTGACTCGAACCCAGATCAACAACGTGCTTGTTTGACTGAGTCATGGAGTAATTTAGATAACAGATGTTAATGGCGTCCAGCCCTGGTTCAGATTATTTTAATAATATATGTGGTTAATCACCCTATTCAGTGGTTCTAATAATTTTTATTTGGTGCCCCTGGTTGTATTTGAATGATTTTTTGTAACATCTACAAAATAAGACTGTTTGCCCTCTTAGAGACTGAACTGGTAGATGCATACGTTTTAACTACACTCGGTCGGATACATAATCTTCCACTTAGCCTCACCCTGTTACTGTGAAGCTACAAATATATGTTTATTGTGTATATGTGGCTATATGTGTATGTTGCGTAAATATTTAACCTGAATACTTCGATTTCGTATAGGCTTTAAATTCTGTTTTTTTTTAATATTGCAGTTTAGCCATACAATCTATTTGCAGATGAAGTAGAGTTAATCTGTTACTGCCACAACAACAAGTTTTGTTTTGTAAGCCGGATGCCTTGTCCCATTTTTAAAAATACCTATATAAAAATATAACTGTATTCGTCTAATCTTTAGCCTATACAGTGTTTCTTCCAGACTTTTTCTCCGGGGGGGTGGGGGGGGGGGGCACTTAAAATTTTCGTGGGGGGGGGGGGGGTAGACTTTCTATATAAATTATATAAATTTCATTTCGTTTGGGGGGAAGAAACTCTGAGCCTATATCATGAGAGAATCGTGTTTTAAAGATTAAATCAAACAAAACTGGAAAACGATTTTTGTTTTATATAGAAATCTCAAATAGTTATATTATAAATACTTTGATAAATACAGTACAAAATGAAAGAAATTAGTTCTAATGGGTACCCGACTCACGTTAGGGGAAAGTACAAAGCGGCTTGGCGTAGTGCCTACCACACTATCCTTTCATATGCCCGAGGTCACTGAAACAGGTGCACTCTACTTCACCTGCCCCGTGGACCTCTTCGAAAGGGTACTTTTTCACTTAAGAAATAAATGGGATTTAAAAGCCCACAAAAACTTAGCAGATTTCGTTTGAGTGACACTTATATCACATACCACATGTACTTTACTTAAGTGCCATTCAAACCTATAACTAGACTTCATTTTCCCCCCATTGAGAACAAATCTCTGTACTCAAGTACTTATCAATGTCAGATAGTGCACACGTGTTTTTTGGTGAGATTAACAGAATGTGATTTACGATGGTGTTTGGGCTAGTGTGTTGTTTATGGTGTCGGGTGTCATTTTTTGGGCTGGGCTGGAAGGTGACACCTCAGTGTAAACAAATACGGTGTCTATTGGTTTGTTTTTCTGTCTCAAGCACGTATCGTTTCTGTGTCACATGAAAGGAAAATTTCCTCCGGCGATTAAAAAAAATTTGGAACAGTTTCAGGCCAGTTATATTACTTACAGTGGTGGTGTTCTTATATTTATTATTAAACTTAAATGTTATCGAAACATAATTATTAAATACTATACTATTATAATTTTAAAACAAATTATTTTAGCAATTTTTTTTCCATGTTTCAGTCTTATTAATTTTTACAATGTCTTTGTCAATATCAGAACAACACCCCCTCCCTTCCCTCCCTCCTGCCCACCACCGCCCCCCCCCCCCTCCCCCAAACCCCCACAATACACAGCTTTTTAACCATTGCAATGTGAATATCTAAATGACTAGATTGTTATTTTGAAAAGAAAATCACTAAAAAAAATAAAAGGTTTTATAAGCTAGAATTTGTTTTTTTTTTTTTTAAATTTATTTGAAAGGACAAATTATGTATAATATTAGTAGTGTATTTAATTCGGGAAGAAAATGATAAAGCAAAAGTGCATTACAAAATATCTCGTGATCTTATAGCACATGATGTTATGTAACATCTGGTGGATTATTATTGAATGAGGTGAGGGTTGGTTAAAGGAAATTATGGTTGTAAGTTAGGAGATAGAGGTTTGGCCTTTGGTAGGGTATTTAGAGTTGGGGTATGATAGTTTGGGTTAAGGTTTTGGAAGCCTAAAAACTGTGTATTGTTTGGGTTAAGGTAAGTGGGGTATTAACAGGGTTTATTGTATAGGTTAAGAAACGCAGGATAGAGTTTAACTGCAGTGTTTTTTAATGACACTTGGTATAAGAAGATCAGGGTTTGGGATTAAGTATAAGGGTTGTTGTATTTAGGAGTAGATAAATTTAAACATGAGTAGGTAACAAAAACAATGGAAACTAAAAGTAAGAATTATTATTCTATTCTATGAAAATAACGTGCGCATGAAATAAAAATTACACTCAATATTGTTTACTGGTACAAACTAATAAAAACGGATGTAGCCTGTAAAAAGTTACAAATTCCGAACTGTTGAAAAAAAAAACTGGACAAGACCTTATTGGCAAAGAAATACAAAAGCGCAAATGGGGATGGTTTGGACACACCCTGCCCTAAACTAATTAACAAATTCACCAGAAAGGAATTAAATTAGAATCACCAAGGAAATAAGAAAGTTGGTAGGCCAAAACAAAGTTGAAAAAGGCCAGCTGTCAATAAAGCAGAAACGCCGGAATGTCGTGGACCCAACTTGAAGGAATCGCCCAAAACCCACCACGATGGAGAGGTGTGGTTGTGTCTCTATGTACCACAAGGGGTCCTCATTAATGATGATGCTGTTTTACTGTTGTAGAAATATGTTGGAGAAATGAAATATATGGCGCAAATCATAACTTCGCCAGTTGCAAATCTACATAGGATACTCTTGATGCAATATTTATTTTTTTCGAGTTAAATAAATATCTCTATTTAAAAAACCGCTTTACACATAAAACTATTTAAACACGACAACTAAAAAAACAAGTAAATAAGTTCGTAATTTCTAAGCATAGAGACTTAACGAAATCTCGTATATAAATTACAACAAGCGAAAAAGATTATACCAAACTTAGCCTATGTAAGCACTTTAAAGTTCAGTGTCCCGGATTTTAATCCCAGCGTTGCGTCAGTTCTGCTGTGCTAGTTAAAAATGTATAGCAATTTCGCTCAATCGTTCGCCGCATTGATTTGTATTGGATTTTAGACCAGGGGTATCGAATAATAATGCTGTTTAAATATATTACTCTTTTTTTTACAGGGTTGGTTCAATAGTTACGGAAATCAAGTCAAATATTGGTTAATATTTTTTTGACTTCATTTTAGGTTTGTTTACACATTAAAAAAAACTGCCTAGTCTTCAATTTGCTACGTTTTAAGCATAAAAATAACAGATTTCGTAACAGTTCTGTCTTATAACTTGTTGAACTAGTTGTTACTAGTCTTAACACAAATCTTTATTGGAAATTTGTGATCTCACAAGGACGGGTTGCGTGAATGGAAGGGGAAGGGTAGCACTTTATGTTGAAGTGAATGGTAGGATGTAGATTCAATTACCATTGTAAGTCCTTAATAGACGAACTTTCTAGATACCCCATTTTAAAAAAAAAGCCAGCAAGCAAATAAATAAAACAAACTTCAATGACCTCAATACGTGCAGGGGGAATCTATTTTTAGCAACTCAAAAAAAACATTGGGTACAATCTTTCTGCGCATCGCATCGTGTGACGGCGAACGACACAGAAATCTAAAGTGTGTCAATTGGTCAATTCGCTCACGTGACTCAAGCGTGGTGTAAACAAGGGCGTGGCCTT